ACGCATCTTCGCACGGGCAGCCTTGCGTTGGCCTATTATTAAGTTTGTTAATGGCAAACTTACCGACGCACTTTTCCATTTTCTCGTCCCAGATAGGTTTTAAATCTCTTATAAAATGACAGCATATGTGAACTTGACAATTAATGAGGATTCGAGCACACTGTATAACCCTTCTGCTTCATTATCTTTTTTAGTTCCAATCGTTAGCTATTGTGCAAGCGTGAAAATGCGCTATTCTGAGAATTTTATTGGGACCAAACGTGAGGAGCACTATGCTCTATTCTTGGCGGTTGGAACTAAAGGAAAATTTTTTATGAACCATTTCATGTTCTTGATAAACACGACTCCACCAAGGACTTTTTTCCGGTCGGAACGTAATACTGCGCTTTTAAAAACTCTTACTAAAATTTAAGGTATTGTATGGTGTCGTTGCTCCTTGTACCTTTGCAGTGCCCATCTCCGCACAACCAGCAGCTGCAGCATATGGTTGCTTGATGGAGTAAGCTTGCTTATTTTTGTTTTTTCATTCGCCCATTGAGCTCATCCCTCTTAAAATGAGTATCAGTTAAAGTGACTGATAATGTAGCAAAGGATTCGAAGAAACGTCACAGTTTCGGGATCATTCCTCGCGGCGAATGTTCCCGTAAACGCAAAACAGTGTGGCTTAAAACTCGTTTTCTGGCTCAAGTGAACACGGAAACATTATGCGATTACGAAGCTGAAGAGAGTCATGCTACACAATAAACAAAAATGCAAACAAAGACGAATGACTAACTGGCTTATTTTGTAGCATTTAACACTTCAGGACGTGTGCTGAAAAACAAAAGAGCCCTCAAAAGATTAAGGATAGGCGCTACTGAGTCAAAATGTTTTACTGGAGAATGGACTAATTGAGAACAGGGCATCCTTTCATTGTGAGCACGTTCAGCATAGTTACTGTCTCCATGCATGGAATGGAGTTTGCAGCTCACCTGTAAATGCAGGAACAAATATTTTGATGGGAGTTTTATCCAAATTATGAACAGATATTTATTAGATGTTTGAAAGCAAAAACAATTAGGTTTCTGCACCGAATTCTTATTCAGTGCATTAAACTCAAGGGTATGCTTTACCATAATATTGGGTTGATAAGCTGTTTTCTTAAGCGCACGATACTGCTCGATTTTGTATAAAAAATCAACTACTTAACGACAATGTGTGTAATTTTTTAAGTATTGTGCCTCCACCGTCGTTTGACAATGATCAGCTTATGGCAAGGGCGTATGTCGAACAAATGATTAACGATGGCACTGCCGACGCATACGCTACGGACAAACAAGGCTCACGGTTAGTACGCTTTGCTTTAATCAATTTCAACTTGAAAAATATCAACTTTTTAGCTTACGGAGATTATTACAATGGATTCCCGCTGTCGAAAACTCGTAACTGCACGAGTACACCACTATGCGACGAGATAAAGAAAAAAGACTATTTAAACAGAACAAAAAAATCACCAAAACTGCCTAGACAGCCAGCTTTGACTCCACTGTTTTGCCAAAAGCTCTGGGAAATGGTTTTATTGAAATCCTAATTTTATTAGACCAGTCTGTGCCGAGCTACATGTATTTAGTCTGTGCTGCCTGTTCTACGCGTGTGTGCCACCTCGTTGGATTCCGCCGTAGACTATCTTTTTTTTTCTTACTTATACGGCTTCGAGATATACGGCTTCCACAAGTTTTGGGCATGATGAAAATATCTTAAATATATTATTCTCCCACG